GCAGGATAATTGGATAATTACCGGAAATAATAAAGCAGACGAACTGGCCAAGGCAGCGTTTTTCCAGGCAAAAAATTGAGCACGACAGGCCCATTTGGAGTACGTCTGATGAAGGCAAGTTGATAACAATGTCCAGGGTTTGCTCCCGACTATTGGCCGGAATCACACAGAGACGACGACTATCCGCCCAAACAGGGAGGAACATCTCCCCGACAACGCCCAACGTATTTCATTTCAAACCTCAGGACCGCGAAGCGTACGAAGCCTGGCAAACAAATTTCTCCAAGATGTGCCGGCCCGTGCAAGATCGTCCAGATAGGCCTGCTATTTTCTGCCCACACCCTCGCAATCAAAGAGTCAGCCAAATCAATTTTTGACCCATTGATCGCATACCTTCTTGCGCAGCTTTGACTACCCGTATTCCGTGGGGCAATGAAGCTGCTACGAAGACATATGTATTGTCTCGGTATGTGGGGATACAACAACATAGTACCCGCGTTGAACCTTCGTCTGCCCCTCCTGGCAGGAAATGCGGCAGCCGAATTGCTAGCTCCACTTTTAAAGTTGGGGTAGGATCCTTTAGGTATGCACATCCCCACGGCTGTTCCGAGACCCTGTCCCCCGGAGTTGGTGGATGGGAGTCTTTAATTAGTGCACGATGTACAGAACGTACCACGCAAACACGCTGGGGACGTTCAACGGACAATAAAATGAAACTTTTTGGGTCTGCTTTTGGGTCTCTATCCTACAGCTTGACTTTTTTTAACCCTGGCAGCCAACTATGAGTTTCATTCGCGTGTTTTCCATGCATGCTGTTCGGGGTCTTGGCCGCGCCAAATTATGTTTGACATGCACATATTAGCCTTGAAGATTTATCCGGGGTATTTTTGGGATGATTTATTTATGGTTCTGTGTGTTTGGCATTTATGTTTTGTCCTACACTTGTCGTTATTGGGCGTGGTTACATTGTTTAGATTTTGCACGTACATTCTGGGTTCCATGGGCACGATACGCTCCTGTTTACAAGTGCAACACAGTTTCGAATAGTATCGATGCAGTTTTCAAATACAATCAGTACACTTCCAATGCATTTCAGGTATGTCTTTTTTGAAAGCCCTCGAAATTCCACACCAACGATGAACATGTGTTTATTTCAATGGTGTTTAACAATATCATTTTCTTTGATTCTGGGGCCTCCGCTCCCTGAACATTTTAGATCCTGTTCCGTGCTTTCGGGGTTCGATTCCATTGATTGAGAATTTTCGAAAATCAACTATAAACCAAAAAACATGGCAGACAGCCATGTTCCCGAAAGCATCGCGAAGAGTTCCTCGTCAAAAAACGTTGGCTTTGCTTACGACACGGCACCTACGCCGATCACATATACTGCACCAATTACACCACAGCAACTGAACAACTCACATACAGCACAGTTTCCACACCACACCACGTGCCCGCTCGCATACCCTGCGCCAAATATACCATAGCAATGTACAGCCCGGCACCTGCACCGCCCACATACGCCACAGCGCCTACACCGCTACACTGCGCCACTGGCACCAGAGAACCTACACGGACGCTATTGTCCTCTATTTTTTCCCAAGCTGGGGTGGGTTTGGCGGGGGGAGGAGATGCACCCGTCTCAGTTGAAGCGCTTTCGCCCTGGCGCTGTACAAATTTTCAAAGACGCCAACAAACCCTCTGCGATCCTGCGTGTCGACACGCTTTGGTTGCGACGCCGTGCGAATTCTCAAGCTCGCCAGCGAACCCTCTGCGGGATTCGTGCGTTCGCTGTGGTGGCCTGCGAATTTTCCAGCTCGCCAACGAACCTTGTGCGGGGATTGTGCGTGTCGAAACGCTCTCGCTGTGGTGCCGCGCGAATTTTTCAGCGATACGACACGGTGCTGCCAGCAGTATCCAGCAGTTGCAGATCAGGATGCAGTACAGGTTCTTCTGCCACTGGCACCTGCCGATGAGCAAGTAGAGTCGCGGAAGCAAAAATATGGGTTTTGAGGCTGCAAAAATGTTTTCCAAAATTTCGTTGTGTGGGATGCAAGTGGGGCCGCTCTCAGCCACGCGTGCTGTGGCCCACCTGTGATCGCACCAGGGCACAGGTGCCTGCGCACAAAATTCTTGGACATGAGACGTGTGAGATCGCAACCGTTGACCTCACCAGCCATTTGTTGTTTCGAGGAAGGCTCATTGACTGTCGCCACCCCTCCCCGTAATGTAGGCTTTCACGTCACGTTTCAGAACGTCGGTTACATCTGGTCATGTGCGATGAGACAGCATTTCCATGGTTTCCACGCGGTACTATTTTTCTGTGTCTTAAATCCTTGCCCATGTCCGTGCCTCACAACACAGGAGTGTTGACGTGCATGCCAAATCTTGACGGTGTGGAGTTTGCAGCCAATCGTTCATAGAAGACATCCAAGCATCCACCAAATATTCGTGATTCTGAGCGAATGTGGTTGCCCAAAAAGCAGTTTACCGCAGCTGGTTCGAAGCTCCGAAATGTTTTGTCAGGAGCCCGTTTTCGCAATTGCACATTGCAACCCTGCACATCCAATTCAGTGTCTTGCGTATAGAGTTCTATGCAAGTTGTTCCCACGCGCTGAGCCGCGCAACAATCTTGCTAAGGGTTACATCCATACATCATTTGTGTTAGTCGTTGCTTGCATGGCCCATCCGCAGAAGCGACCAACGGCAGCGGCCACAGTCCGATTGCTCTTGGCAGTCATGTCTCGGTAGACTTGCGCGAACTGTAATATGTGGCGTGTGAGGTGGAAAGCGCTGCGAAGCGCTCAAGTTCTCCGTCATGTGCTTAGATGACTTGAGGCCACTGACGCCTGCCCCTGTGGCTCACTTTATCCTATGTGTCTGTCACTTTTCGTAAATGCAGAAGCTGTGTGGTGATGATGCGTCCGGTTGCCTTGAACCACCCCATTCGCAGAAAGTAATCATTCAGTGCTTGCCCTTCAGGTCTGATCGGTTTATTGTTCCGCGATTGTCGTTGTCCACATCCCGGTTGTCTCAGCTTTCATCGGAGAATACATTGGCTCGTTGCATGTTTGAATGTTTCCAAGGCAGCATGACGATGCGGATGGGGAACACTCGCCGAGGATGCACCAGAGTGCCAAGCAAGAAACCAATGTATGTTGCCAACGAGCAGTGCCACAGGGCGCCCTTATCACCGCGCTGGTGGCTGAGAAGCGCGTGCACGAGACGTATTGCCCGTCCGCAGTAGTCCTTCAGGTGGGAATGTTCCAGTTGCTCCATATGCTGCCCCGGCATCCCCACAATCTTCCACAGACGCCATGAAGAAGTCACTTGTCAATATGAAGTAGGTTGCAATTGATGCTTCCAATCTGCCGGTTGTGCTGCTAGGCTGTCAGAGAAATTTTCACCTCGATTCGGCGTTCCGCGTGTCGCTCGTATGACATTGAGTCATTTTCCTCATGGCACGTCGTATGTTGATTTGCCCGTTGATGAGGGGCACGCAAGTTGGCCAGGATGAGAACAACCCCGAAGCAGGGAAGACGAGCGTGCCCAGGCGAGTGTCACATGTTGGTACGTGTGAGCGGGCGTATCATGCTTCCCTCAGACCATTTTTGTTAGGCTAAGTGGGGGCAGACGAGGCGCACATGTGGCTTTTGCTTAATTTGGTTGGAAGCCAATTGCAATAGTTGGCATGTGGAGGTTCGACAACGAGATCATCAAGCACCAGCAAGCTGCGTAGTGTGTACGTCCCAGGGCATTCTCGCTCCGATTCTACTTTGTTTCACCATCGTAGTAGGGCTCAGCCAGGCCCTTCGCGAGCAGTCAAACGGTTCAAACGGTTCCGCTGCCTCCTTAGTTGCCAGTGGTTCAACAGGCCTGGTGTATGGTACAGTTCAGGCACGAAACAGGATGCGAGAACGCCGTCCCAACCCGCTGTTGAGCAACAGCCCGCCAGCCTCACTCTCGGTCATGTCATGTGGTTTGGACTCCGTGTTTTTTCCGTGGCTCAGGCACGCTCAACTCCAACCGCGCTGGATCCTTTTGTCAGATGGCGCATGCAATGTTGGGTGGTCTGTTGATCTTCCCAGGCTGCAAGCCGCCAGCTCACCAAGCCGGCAAAATCAGAGCAACTTTGCCGGCTTGTAGCTATTGTGCTTTGATCACGGATTCCTTTAGTATGTGTTGTGTTCGCCAAGACCCTGTAGCGCCTACAGGGGAGATCTGCATGTTGAGGCCGTTTGAGCTGCGACAGTTCTTCCAGCTCCAGCGTTCACAGTGGCCTCGCCCCGACAACATGTTGGTGTCGTGAGGCAGCGTTTGGCTGAAAGCTTAGAGGTCCATCACTGATCGGCGAGAACGTCTCCAGCGTGAGATCAGCTGCCGTCACGAATCTGCCTCATTCCTTTTTGCCGATGCCTCTCACATAGTGCATTTGGCTGCGAAGGCCATGCGCCAGCACTGCGTCTTTGATAGTGTCAGGCCCTCATTACCTACTATGAGGCTACCCGAATGCAGCCACATGTACTTGTAGCATGTGAGACGTCAGGCCCTATATTGGTCACCGCCCTATACCTGCAGGCAGTGGGGTCTGCGGCCCAGCCTTGCTCGGAAGAGTTCCTTGACTCATGCGTGGGCCATTTGGAGGTTGCAGGTCAAGGTGCTTGCCATGCAGGTGCCGGGATTTTGTGTGTTGCTTTCTGCGTGCACACTCACTTCTGGCAGCATAGGTTGCAAGGGGAGTGAGCCTGTTTTTTGATACTTCGACCTTGCCTCTCCAGCTTAGAGATCTTAGAGGCTTGGAGTAGGGACCTCAACTCGGAAGACAGCTTAATTCCAGACAAATATCAACACGATTTCCAAAATGTGGTACGTATGAAAGCAACATCAGCTACCACATGCTGCTAGTGATTTTGCATGACTGCTTCAATTCCGGCATCGTGTGACACGTACGACAAGTAATAGAGCAGCGTAGAATTGCAACAGCCGCGTAAGTAGAAAGCATGTCCCCGCCAAGACTGCCAGATGTTGTCAAGGCGGGGCTTGCCCCAAGCTTGAAACCATTTTTTGGTCATGTTCCAGAGGCTGCTGGCAAATCGTTGGGCCGCACCTGGTCTGACGTGCAGCCCTTCCTTAAACTCCTGGAGGAAAACTGGTACGACACTGTGGAGAGTTTGAGGCTAGCTGCACCACAGCAACCGCGGTTGACCCTCCTGCAGCTGCTGTTGGAGCCAGGTCCGTTGGCATTGCCGACCTTCAAGCATTGGGTATACCACAAAGGTTTGCGAAGGAGAGCAGCTTAGTCTCATCTTGCTGGCTCATCTTTGCCGGCGTTTGCCAGGAGCTCCTGCAGCTGTCGGAGACCAAATCATCCCATGACGGTGGCAAAGGGAATACCAGAGCCGCAGAAGCGCAAGGCCGCATGTTCCTGCACATTGGGGAACGGTGCGCTGGTGAAGGAAATGCATTACATCTGGCAGGCAACCAAGAGGGCCAGCGACACAGCTGGGACAAAGGCAAGGGCAAAGGCAAAGCCAAAGGCAAGAACAAAAGCAAAGACGGCAACAATGGCAAAGGCAAAGATGGCAAAGATTGCGGAGAGAGTAAAGGGATCAAGGGCAGCACAGGCAAAAGCAAGGAGCCCCCGTCAACGCTGCATGCAGATGCCACATTGTTTACATTAGACATTTGTCCATTTTCCACATGCTTTGGAGGCGCGACCCTGTCTGAAGCCCATTTGACCTCATGACCTTGTCAACTGCCTCCCCCCAATTTGTTCACGGTTAAAACCGCGAAATGCCTTCAGACCCAATTCTTTGCGGGGTTCTAATTGTTACTTGCAATCGTCCGCCATCCATTCCCATGTTCCCGACCGCAGCCGCCAACATCTCGGCTCGACCCTCCGCTCCCTTTCAACTCCTCTTCTAGATTCTAGACCCATGCGAACATCTCGGTACGATCCTCCTTAGACCCTCGCGGTTCGACCCTCCGCTCCCTTCAAACTCCTCCTGTAGGCCCTCCATCGAACATCTCGGCTTGACCCTCCGCTCCCTTCAAATTCCTCTTCTAGACCTTTCCGCGAACATTTCAGTTCGATTCTCCGTTCCCTTTCAAAACTCCTCTTGTAGACCCTCCCGTGAACATCTCGTTTCGACCCTCCGCTGCCTTTAAACTCCTCCTGTAGACCTTCCCGCTTGACTCTCGGTTCGACCCTGGCTCCTTTCTAAAACTTCTCTTCATGACCGTCCCGCGAACATCTCGGTTCGACTCTCCGCTCCCTTTGGGCCCGCCAAACCCTCGCGCGAACATCTCGGATCGACTCGCCGCTCCCTTTAAACGCCTCTATTACACCCTATCGATAACATCTTGGTTCGACCCTCTAGACTCTAGTCCTTTTCTAGACCCTCCTTGACCCTCCCGCGAACATCTCGGTCTTCTAGACCCTTCCCTTTACTTCCCCGCCTCACTCTACCCGCTCCTGCTCTGACATTCCACGCTGTATGCTGCGATTTCCTGTCCCTGCGCAACTCACGCTTCGATTCGTCCCCGATTGTCGTCTTTTCTTCCCATTCCTTCCTTTACCCCCTTCTTCTTTTTCTTTCTTTTAGTATTTTGTATTGTATCTTTTAGATTCTAGTTATTCTAGTTACGATACACTATTCACACGTGGGGTTTTCCGGTCCTTTGATTTTATTTGGACGGAGTTTTAACCCAGTGCCTGTGAATATGCAGCAGCTCTTCTGGCAATGAATGTGTTCCAGTCTCGAAAGATATCTTGCACTCTCAACTCAGCGATTTCACAAAAGCCTTATGCTCAACAAGCGCGCTTGCTGCTGCAGCTGGAAGAGACTTAATGCCCAAAAGTATGCATCAACGCTAGTGATCCCGCCTGGCGCTCAATTTCAATGTGCCTAGCTTGTGGTCAGATTTCTGCCGTTCGCCGTTGCACTGCCTGAGTGTTCATGTCCGGCAGGAGAATCATCGTTTTCTAGCAATGCTTTCTCCAGGCATTAAGGGACTGGCAGGCATCAGGCAGAAATGCCGTTCTGTTGGGCTGATGGACCCAGATTGTTGTTTGTTGGCCTTGTGCAGGGAAAGCTTTGTTTCTCTAAATGTTTCACCAGGAGAGCCAGAACGAAGGAGAGGCAACAGAGCGTGATTACTTGCACATGCACAAGATACACTTCGAAGTGGACCAGCTGGACCCACAATTCCCGCTGGCTGCTAAACTCATAGGGAAAGGCGGGGATTTGGAGTGGGTGCTTCAGGGTCCAGCGGCGGGGCTTGCGCAGAGCTGGAGTTTGAGATTCTGAGTTGCAGAGATGTGTGCTGGAGTTCAGAACCCCAGCTTGCTTGATCTTTTGCAGTTTATTTTGGCAGGTGGCCGCAACATGAAGCACATCACTGCCACTACGGGTGCCTCCGTCTGGCTATGTGGCCAGGGGTCTGGGCAGAAAGGCCTGGGTGGCCAGGAGCCTGATGAACCGCTCCATATCCTCCTAAAGTCTGACGACAAGGACAGCTCCCTGAGATATTGGAGTCGATAGCTTCCTTTACTTTGTCTTGAACATTTTGAAGCCATGCGGGTTTGGATTCAAAAGAGGCTGGCGTTGAATTTGCCCCTGCTCCAGTGTTGTTGCATGTGGTGGAAGCGCAGCACGACCTTCTAACATTTTCTGTGGTGGACATGACGGAGGTGCTGAAATGCTAGATTGTGCCTTTCAGAAAAATGGCAGTCAAGGGAGCTTCAACTCGCTCCCTGCATGAAAGGATTTCGGGGTTTGTGAGCGTTCCTGTGTGAGCAGATGACTGCCTTGGCTAGGTGTGCATCCTCGTGCGCGGCACCAGTTGTCCTACCGGGAGGTTTATTGGTTGTTCGGCCAATTCAGTGGACACACTTTTGGAAGGAGCTTTTTAGTATGAATCTGCTTTTTTTTGCTAGCGCTGGGAAGCAATAGTGTTGCTGGTCTTGTTTGCTTGCAATTTTGCGGAGCATGTCCAGCCATGGCAGTGGCACAGAATCTGCTCCAGAGCAGAGTTGGCCAAGAAGCGAACTTGGCCTTTCTCAAAGTTGTTTACTGATATTCGGCCAGCTTCAGGAGGCCCTCGAGGAGGCAGTCAAAACGACTGATGACCTCATTGACACAGTGATGGAGGAGTATGGGCAATGGCTGGAAGCCGGTGAAGATGTATCTGAAGCATCGCGCGCTGAGCTTCCTGTTCCTGGGAACACAGACGGCTGTTGCTCCTCTGCATCTCACTCTGTCTTGCCCAGGTTCGAGACATTCTGGGGATAGGGGTTTAAAAAACATAAAGCGTCACAGAAATCTTTCTAAGCATCAAAGACACCCCGGCTGGAGGCGAGCAGGAAGGAAGGAAGGAATGCTCATCATCTTTCATCAGTTTTCATCAGCTCTGATAGTTCTCATCATCTTTCATTATCTTCATCATCATTCTCATGACACTTTCATTTCCTGGTGGTTTTTATCAATCGTCAGGGTCGCTTCATCATTTTCATGCGGTTTCAAGATTTTGCATGTTTTTTTCATCATGTTCTTTTTGTTTTATCATTTTTCATTTCTTCATGTTGATGCTTCCTCAAAATTCTTCATAATTTGATCATGTTCATGTCCTTCTCATCATAAATCACATTACGTTGCCAAATTAAAGCGGCGGAAGAAAGCACGCGGATCTTCGCCCAGGTTGTGCAACTGAGGGGGGCCGCGGCCACCCCACCCCCCGATGTCATTTTTCAAAGCACATTCACGCAAACATGTGTCATTATATTCACCTTTTTCACGTCATTGTTTTCTTCACAGTGTTGCCATGTTCATCAATCTCCACAATGTTTCATCATGTTGCATTGTTAAAACATGATATTTCATGTTTTCATGATTTTTGAATGATTTCCATCATTCTTGATCATATTTCATCAGCTCTTAACATTTATCAGCATTTATTAGCATTTATCATTGAAATATGAATTATTTTCATGACGAAAGCATCAGTTTTCATTATTTACACAATTTTCCATGTTTTTCGTTGTTTGTAACGCTGTGGGGCCCGCCATTTTTGCGAAGTTAGATTTTTTAGGGTTTAGCACGTATTTCTACTTATATCCATATTTCTTCGCCATCTCCTAATTTTGATCAAATTTCTGAAAGATCTCGCGAACCTCAGGTGGCAACCATGAGCACTGCAAACCATCCTGTTTTGACTTCTAGCAGCTAAGGGGCTTCCGGGAATCACCACTGCATATGGACGACAGCAACTGTACATGACTGTTCCACATGTCTGCCGTCTGCACTGAATCGCACACACCCCCAACATGGTTTGTTGTTGCTGTCGTGCATGCGAAAAAACACTCAAGCATCTTACTTCTTAGCGGCCCATTTGATCTCATCATTTTCAATCAAGAGCGTCTTGCCTGCCTTGATAGTCCTGCGCAGCAATGCCACTGGTGCTCCGCACTTCGTCTTGCTGTCTGCCAGCATCTGGTACGTGGGCACCCATCTGGTGACCACATGGTCCGACTCCACGTCTTGCTTCAGCAGCAACATCTCAATTCCCAGTCTCTTGTCCTTTATCATCATTAGCTGGCAATGGATGTGGTCATACACCGGCTTGAAGTCCAGACACGCCGTGATGGGCACCTGGGCCGACCACTTGCCGTTTGTCTCCAAGGTGTAGTTGGCATTCATAGCCTCTGACCACAGGGAACGGATCCACTTTGCTTCTGCCATCGCTCTTGACAGCGTCAGCAGTTCCGCACCCAAAGTAGAAGCTACTTGCCGGTCTTGCTCGAAGGACTTCCAACGCAGAGGCGAACAAGTTGCCCATGACCCTTTTCTCAAGGCACTTGGCACCGCAGCTATCACATAGCCGCCTTGGGGCTTCTTCTCGGTAGCATTGGCCCATGCGGCGTCACTCCAAACACAGAACTCCACATCCTGCTCGAGAATGTGCTTCACTACAATCTCCATGCATGAGGAGTCAAGTGCCATGGCAACAGCCCTATTAACCTCTACCATGTCCTTAACACAAGCCTGATTGACCCTCTGCTTCCCCTGGAAATCCGCACATGCTCAAGGCCCTCAGGGTAGTCTTTCTGACTCACCCTAATGGAGAAATCCTCATCTTGTCTCAGAAAACGCCCAAGGAAGTCACCTTCCTCCTTCTTGAAATGCTTGAAGGGGAAAACCTCATGAAGACGCTTCAACACGGCTTCATGAAATCAGGGGATTCCACCACACAACATGTCATCAACATGTAAAGCTTATGTAAAGTGTAAAGCTATATCCTGCAGCACCCCGTCATGAGACCGACACATGTACGCACATTGATCAAGCTTCGACGCAACACAGCCCATGCTGGCCAATGCCTTGGTAAATGACCTGTGCCAAGCCTTCGGCGCGTTTGCAAGTGGACTGCTTTGAGAAGTTCGATAACTGCTCCTTCAGGGACCCGGGTATGCCCCCCGGTGGCACTCGCACCAGGACTCTGCCCTTGCGTCTCTCGATCCCTTCTCCACGCAAGAAGGCTGCTTCAACGTCTCCAATGCAAAGATCCCACTTCTTCGTCGCCAACACCTGCCACGCTGCCGCCAAACCCTCGGCCCTCAATGTAGGCGCCGCCGTACCAAGCTCAAGCAAGTCCCGATCCAAGTACCCTCTAATGCACCAACGGGCCTTGACAAGGCCCCTTTTCAACTTTTCGGCGTCATCTGGTGATCACAAACCTGCTGGACAGGAGCCTGTCCTTGCCAACCTCGTTCACCAGGTCCTCGGCCTCCTTGCCAAAATGCAGCTTTACAGACTTGGTGTCAAGCATCTTCTGCCACTCACTGGCTTTGGAACTGCTGAGGTGTTCCTCCTCGTGCTTTTCCAACTCCTTTTCGGACACCTCTGCTTTTCGCTTCTTCTTCACCTCCGCGACGCACACTTCTCCCGACACCAACACCTCTTCCACCAACAACACGTCTTCATCTGCCTCCGCCACGACTTCTCGAGTCGAGTCAAGATTTCTCAAGCTGCTCCTCATGGCACGAGTGAGGTCACTGACCGGTCTTTGAGGCCCATATTTCTGTGATGGGGCGTTACTCCCAATCGCTTCTCTGACTGCCCATGACAACATCTTCCATGCCTCAACACCTTCAGCCGACACATCTGCTTGCCCATCAGCTTGCATAGCTACCGGCCCTGCTCCTTCTTCAACAACGTCATGTCCTTCAAGCTCCGGACCCTCCTTAAACTCCGAAGGCGGCCTTTCGCGACCATCCAGCTCAACAATGTTACCCGCACCACGCTCACGCAAACGGTTCCTACACACTCTCAAGTCATCAGGCAACAAGCGGACAAGACTCTCTTGTTTGGGGCTCAACCTTTTTACCTGTTCAGGCGAACACCTGTAAACTTTGGTTTCATGCGCCACCCAAATCCGAGACGCTTGCACTCCAAGTACGTGACCTGGACCATGCCAGTGAGTTTTCTTTTCACCAACGGACTTTGGCCACACCAACACAAGCTCGCCCATTGTCAACTCCGCTGCTTTCTGCCTGGTCCTGTGTGCTGCTGCTCGCTTCAAGCGCTCCTCGTTCTCGGCGTCGATGAACGCGGCTGACCTTATTGCCTGTCATCTCTGGTAGGCTGACTCTCCAACTGCCAACGCTGACTCCGCAACGTCATCCAGCACACCCGACCACACCAAGCCCGGAACACGCTGTTCAGATCCAAACACATGCGACTTTCGGAAGTAACCCCCTTTTGTCGTCATAGTGTTATGGGCCTGAGTAATTTGGTCACACAACTCTTCAACTTCCATCTTAACAACACCCAACAAGGCCTTGTTGAACGCAACCTTCCACGCACCATCATGACGCTCCACGATCCCGTTCTGCCAAGGACCGTGGCTGGCCGTCACCTCATGCCAGGTGCCGTCTCCTTCAAGCGCTGAAGTGAAGTACTCACCAAACTCCGGACCAGCATCTTTCCACGCCTTCGCCGGAGCACCTGCCCAACGCTTCCAATAACGACGGTAAGCAACACGGGCACTCTTGGAATCAACACCTTGGCACTACGGCACACACACACACACCTGATATCTTGTCGCCAACTCAACAAGGTTAAGCAACTTCAACTTCCGCCAAGGTAACTCAACCTCAAACGTGTCCATGCCGACAACCTGATTCAACTCCTTGGCCCCTTGCGTGGTGGCCACTGGCCGTGATCTATGGCCCGACTCCTGATGGCGCACGGGACACTGCAAACCTTTGGCAAGCTTCAACACCCTTTCAGTGGCTTGTGCACGCTTCAGCATGGCAATCAGCTTGACATTTGAGGGATGACCTAAGTTTTCATGATAACGCCTGAGTCCCTGATGACGGCTTTACACATTTCTTCGGGGTACTTTTGTTGCCGACAATCAGCTGTTTGTTGATACAAAACTTTTCTGAGGACATCATGCTGGCATGTTATCATTCCTCAGGGTTTCGAATCAAGGCCGTTTCATCAGGCCAAGTTTTGATCTTTCTTCCTGATGCCCCGTAGCCGCAGCGTCGCGCGGCGCTTACATGGCGGTGCGCTTTCGGGTCTGCCATCTCCAGCTCCTCGACGCCGTCGTCGATCCGAGCGGCGAGCCTCTCCTTCACCAAAAGTCATCGTGCACAAAGTTTGTCGCCGCCTCCGGTTCCGAGATTGCCCAATCCATCTCCTGCGCGACTGGGAATTACCCCGTGCACCAGTCCATCCTGAACCGACCAACCAGAATGTGAGCGCGTGGTTATAAAAAGCTGCCGGGAAACTTTCTCTATTCCGAGGACCGTGCGAAGGAGAACCTGATGCTTTGGGCCGCAGCGCATGACATTCAGCAAGCCTCTTGTCCACAGCTCACTAAGGTGGTAGAGCGATTGGTGTCTCTGGGTGTCAACTCGCCTGGTCGTCTGTTGGGTTTCGCCCCAGAGGAGCTCACCCAATTCTTCGCTCAAGCACATGGTCATCACCAAAACATCAGTGTGGATATCTTGCACTCAAGTGTGGCACGTCGCCTCATGGCTCTCGCGTGGCAATCTCATCAGGGTCAAATTTCAGCAAGCCAAGGGGCATCTGCTGTTCGACCGACCGACTTCGCTGCTGAGCAACTGCGTGTAAATTCGCAATTAGCTGCAGCATTAGAGCGTTTTGCTAAAGGTCCTTCCAGGGCATCTAGGAGTTCCATCTTGCGAGATCATGAATCCGACGACGAAG